CATGCTTTTTTTATTCGGTGCATACACTCAAGATTATATTGAATCCCAAGCAAGGCCGGGCACTCAGCTAGTATAAGATATATCATACAAGTAAATTGAAATTATTGTTATTGCAATATATCTACAATGGTTCTGTGACACTACCCTGAATGTCACTACCCCGAATGTCACTACCCCGAACGCCGTTACCCCGAACGGTACACTACCCCGAACGCCGTTACCCCGAATAGTACACAACCCCGAATGCCCATTACCCCGAATGACCATTACCCCGAATCCATTTCCAAAAGCTGTAAGCTGTATTTTTGTTTATTATAGTCACTTCTGGAATCTTCCTTCGCATATATAAAAAGAAGAGAAAAACTTCTTAATGGGTCAAGGGGTTTTAGGAGACCTTAATGGATCAAAGGGTTTTCCCTTGTTTGAAAATATAAGAAAAGGAAATAATTAATTCTTTGGATATACGATAAAGAAGGGAATATTTCCTTCTTTGCATATGTATAAAAGAGAACATCATTAATTCGTTAAATATATGATAAAGAAGGGAATATTCCCTTCTTTGGAAATATAACAAAAGGAAATAATAAATTCTTTGGATATACGATAAAGAAGGAAATATTCCCTTCTTTGAATATATAACAATATAAAATGACAAAAAAAAGTGATAAATTACTAATTTCATCATCTTTTCTGGGGAATGGTACATTCTGGGGAATGTTATAGAATCGGTGTAACTGGTATTATTAGCAGTAAAAACAAGCAGATTTTTTTCCAAAGGCATTATAATCCTTCACACAGCGATCTGGGTGTATGAGATTCACATGTTCTGCATTGAAGTTTCCCTCTTTAGTGACACTTCAACAAATGGATTGAAAATATAATAATATTCCTTCATAATCGAATATTCTAAGATGAGAATATTCCCATTTTCCTTCTGAAAGAACTGCTCATATTGAAAAGAAGGAGAAATATCCAATAAAGATTTCTTTTCCCTTAATTTCTTCATGAGCTGTTCTTTCGTATTAAATTGAACCATAGTTCATGAAAAGAAGAAAAAATATCCATTTATTTTCTAAAATTACTTATTATTATTTTTAATCATGTTCTGGTCCAATTAAGTTTGAAAGAATAGCTCATGATCAAAAGAAGGAAAAAATTCCAATTACTGTTTATTAAATTACTTTTTCTCCTTCTACAATTACATTCCAGTGTTTAAAAGTATGAAAACCTCAAAACTCCAAAGAACTGCTCATGTCTAAAAAAAAGGAAGAATTTCTCAACGGTGTTCCAAGAAACAAATCAAATAATGATGAATAATAAATGAACTGAAAACAAGCATACTGGTTTTGGATTATTATTCTATATATAAAAATGAAAATGCTTTAAACGGCTCAATACATTAATATAGGGAAAAGAGGGGCATAGTGAGCATCCTGTGCTTTGGGAATGGGTTTCTAGCTACTCGAAGCAAATTAATTGGTAGTTGGGTTAATCTCATATTAAATCTTCCATTTGCATGGTTTGAAATTTAAGGTGGGTTGCAATCTGCTCACTATGCTCAATATATAGTAAGAAAATTGCCAAGGTTGAAAAATTCCTAACTTTTTTTTTTCGTGGATATGGCATTCGGGGAAATGTAGCACAATCCTTATCCTTTTAATCGCATGCTGTTCTTCCGTTTGTCTTAATTTCGGGGTTATGGTCATTCGGGGTAGTAGGGTATTCGGGGTAATGGCCATTCGGGGTAGTAGGACATTCGGGGTAGTAGCTTTCGGGGTAACGGCGTTCGGGGTAGTGACATTCGGGGTAGTGTCACAGAATCATCTACAATACGTTATATACAGTATGGATTTCCAACAATAGAAAAACAATAAAATTAATGGGTTTAATTCTTGTTTTCTCCATACATTTTCAGGGCTGTTACAAGATTTTCTAAATTTGATCCGCGAAATCCGCGATTTCTCAAAAGAAATCCGCGACTTCAAATACTAATCCGCGACAAAAAAAAAACTGTTTTCATTGTCTAAAAATAGCATTTGTATACTACTACATGGCATTTCAAGCCTATTGCTTATATAGTAGTATATTAGATTTTTGCCTGCTCTCAACTTAGTGTTCTTTGAAGTACTTTCACATTTTAATTGAGAGCTTTCCTATGCCTGTACCATCCTATGCCAAAGAAAGTAGAGAAATTTTCCAACCCGAAAAATTAATAGACCGGACGGGAATCGAACTCAGTCGCCTCCAGCATGGACTTGCTTTGTAGCTGCGCCTTTACCGACTGAGCTAAAGGAGTATCCTTTGTAACCTTTGATTTTTTTTTTAAATAGCATTGATCATCTTCAGTTATTTATGTATAGTATAAATTCTGAGTAATTAGTGAACATCTTAAAACACTCTTACATTATAAGATTCTATTGAATAATACCCCAGACAACCATAAGTCGTATAACAATGTACAGACAGTATCGTAAATTCCTACAGTTTAAGTCAAAATCGCTTATAAGAATGGCGTACCTCGCATTATGTTTAAGTTAAATCGTATAGAATGCAAATTTACGACTTTTATGCGATGACTCATTTTTCCGTCGTACTGTATCATAAATTAAATCGGATTACATCGTAAGACTTTTCAAAATTAATTTGTTATTACAGATTAAATCGAATATGATGTATAATCAACTCGTTTAAAATTAAATTAAAATATGCACGTATATGGCCTCCACTTTTGTACGTATAAGCCATTTATTTGCATTCTATACGAATTATTTGTTTGTATATATGTCTGTACATCACGAAAACTATTTTGAATATACGTGCATTCTGGTTGTCTGGGACCGGCCTAGATTTGATGAAACATTATTTTAAAAAAAATGCATTTTCATTTGAAATGCATTTTTTTTTAATTTAACCTTTGCGTCTCTGACGTATTCAAACCAAATACCCTGCACATAATCGAGAAATTACCATAGTTTCATAAGTCACACTTGTTGGTCACGTCACGGTTGTGTATTTACACGGATATTCCTTGAGTTCTGTCAAATGGTGAGACATTTTCATGATTTTTTTTATTTCTAATGTAAACCTAGCACTTTTCGTTGTCAAATAATAACCGAATCGTATATATGGGACTTTATGGATCATGCACGACTTATTACTATGTATACAGAAAAATTATAGGTTTTCCAAATCGTCCAGGACATCAGTTGATTTGTTCTACTAGATCAACCAAGACTGCAATAATGTCTGTAGTATCGAAAAATGTCCAATCAGATTCAAAGTGTCTATGTGGATCATGCATGATTTATTTCCGAGTAATCCAGATGTTCAAGGTTCTTCAAATCGTACTGGAGTTCAGATAATTTGATCTACTAGATCAACCGAGATTGGGACAATGTCATTACTATCGAAATATTTCCAGACAGATGCACAGTGTATACGTGGATCATGCATGAACTATTGTCATGTATACCAGATGTTTTAAGTTCTCCAAATCGTTCTGGAGTTCAGATGATTTATTCTACTAGATCAACCATGACTTGGATAAAGTCTGTAGTATCGAAATATATCCAAACAGATTCATAGTGTCTATATGGATAATGTTTAATTATTTACACGTATACCAGATGATCTAGGTTCTCCAAATCGTCCTGCAGTTCAGATGATTTGTTTAACTAGATCAACAAAGACTAGGATAATATCTGTAGTATCGAATTATCGATTTGGATACATTTGGCATACACGGAAATAGGTTGGCATGATCCACATAGACACTGCAAATTTATTTGGGCATATTTCGATACTACAGATATTGAATTAGTCTTGGGTGATCTAGTAGAAAAATAATCTAATATCCCAAATTATTTCAGAACTTATTACATCTTGTATACGTAGCAATAGGTCGGGTACAATCCACATAGACACTTTGAATCTGTTTGGATATATTTCGATACTACAGACATTACTGGAGTCTTGGTTGATATAGTAGAACAAATCAACTGAACTCCAGGACGATTTGGAGAACCAAGAATATCCGGTATACATGGCAATTGCTCGCATATATACGATTCGTTTATGATTTGACAACGAAAAATGTTATGTTCATAATGGAAAAAAAGGAAAATGTCTCACATTGGACAGACCTCAGGGAATTTCCGTGTAAATCCGATGTGACTTTGGAATTGAGATCATCTATATCGATTATTTGCAGGGTGTTTGGTTTGAACCGGTAAAAAATTGAGAGCCAAATGAACAACAAAATTGATGACAGCAAAATAATCCGGGACGGAAAGATTACAATGAATTCCACAATTTTTGTGACAGCACATCAGTCCCTTCACGATTTTCACGACATCATTTAATGATTCCGCGATTTTCGCGACTGAAAATTCAAATCCGCGACAAATCCGCGAGAATCGCGAAATCCGCGAAATTCGCGAAATCCGCGCCTGTTGTAACAGCCCTGCATTTTCGGAAAGAAAACTATACTAAAACCTTTTTAACTTATGGTTTGAGAACATTAATGGTAATGGTTATGGTAACCACTAAGGTCCATGAATGGTTTTGTAACATCGATCAACTTTATGTGGAATATATCGCGAATTGGTTGCCTGTAAATTACTGATTACCAATTCACGATATATTTCACGTAAAGTTGAGCGATAATACAAAACCATTAATGGACCTTACTGACTACCATAACCATAACCATTAATGTTCTCAAACCATAAGTAAAAACGTTCTAATATAGTTCTCTTCCGAAAATGTATGGAGAAAACAAGAATTTGGAATGGTAATGGTTCTTAACAACCCATTATTTGTAAGGTCCGCTTCCAAAAAACCATAATACATAAGGTTAAAACTTTATCACACAAACGTTCATGTAAAGTTCCATAACCATTTCAGTTGAAGTTTAGCAGGGATTATAAACAATTTATAACCATTATCGGTGAGGTCATGTGATGGTTCGCGTTTATGCGGGATACTATATAATTACTTACTGTGTATACGCAACATCCGGAACATGATTTTTGCTTGCTCCGGGAAGATTTAATGTTGGCACCCAGTCGATATTTTTCGTTTCTTGAAAATCAGCTGGTTTTTTTGAATAAAAATGTCGACCACACACCAATAATGTCGACGACGTTAGATGGAAATTGCAATTTTTGAGCCACCGCAAGCGTCGAAGTTGCTGATACTGCTTTTCTTCTCCAGCCGATCGGCTGGTAACAGCTGGAACTCTGAATAGCTTGTAGCTTGCATCTTTTCCATATACAGAACAGCCAGCCACGGAACATTTAGAAGGCATTATATTATCACGAATAATTTAAATCAAATTTTCACAACTTTTATCTAAAAATCAACAAATCAAGATCGAACCGAAATGAACGTAAACAAATTTGACAATCAAAACAAAAACAAATTCTACGCAAACATTGCTAGATAAACATTTCAAAAGGTACTATTTGACATTTGTAAACAAATCGAGTTTAATGCTTCTCTGTACTGCAGAGCTCCCCGCATAAACGCGAACCATAAATTGACCTTACCTAAAATGGTTAAAAATTGTTTATAATCCCTGCTAAACTTTAACTGAAATGGTTATGGAACTTTACATGAACGTTTAATGATAAAGTTTCAACCTTATGTATTATGGTTTTTTGGAACTGGACCTTACAAATAATGGGTTGTTAAGAACCAAATTCAATATAGTTGTTGTTATTCACATCGTCGTGATTTTGCGCTGCTAAATTTGTCATTTTTTTATCACACGGGCTATCGTTATTCGTGTTTTTCCGTTCGGTATACTTGTAATATTGTACTGGTTGTTAGTGGAAAGTGTAGTTCGTTACGATAATCGGCCAATTAGAGCATATTTTGTGTTGTGAAAACAGTGAAAACATTATCCAATCGGACATATTGTACACGTATAGCAGTGGGCGATCTCGAGAATCCAATTCCTCTTTGCGTATTAGAGCATCTCCACCGCTGTCTCTAAATCACTTTTGGAAACTGAGTCAGCATGACTTCCGCCTGTGACCAATGCGCTAAGCCTGTTAAAGGCGACGAAGAATCCGTCTCCTGCATGGCTTTTTGCGACAGGATGATTCACCTAAAGTGTGGCGGCACAAAGCTGAATAAGGCTTTTCTGAACATTGTCCATACTAGCCCGAACCTGTTTTGGATGTGTAACGAGTGCGCGAAGCTGATGAAATGTGCTCGATTCAAAACTGCCGTCTCGTCGTTTGGCAGTGTGATTAATTCTATCACCGAGAGACAGGAAATCGCACACACTGAGCTTAGGAAGGAAATGGCTAAGCAAGAACAGCAGATCGCTCAGCTATCAAAACGAATCGCATTGACAACTCCGACAAACTCTGATTTCATGCGTCAACCGCCATTAAAACGGCGCCGCGATGAAGGCTCGCTCACAGGCAAACCACTTGTTGGTGGTTCTAAAGCAGTAACAGGTGACAATGCCTTTACCGAGGTCCTTACTGTCCCTGAACCCACCGAGCTGTTTTGGCTGTACCTTTCTCGTATTCATCCTAGCGTGAAATCGGAATCAATCGAGAAGCTGGTGAAAGGTTGTGTACAGTGCGAAGATCCGATTAAGGTTGTGCCGCTAGTCAAAAAAGGATCCGACATCAGCCGTATGAGCTTCATCTCGTACAAAGTCGGAATGGATCCCAAACTACGCGAAGCTGCTCTTAGATCGGATACATGGCCGAAAGGAATTTTGTTCCGTGAATTTGAAGACGGTTCAAAAAACATGTGGTTGCCTCGTTTGAACACGCCTACCATCACGATCTCTCCTATTACGGGACCTTCCGAGTTCTCAACTCCCATTTCCGGACTAGACCCAGTCTGCTGATTCAGAATTGGATTTTGCGTTGTGAATCGGAGCGCTGTAGACCAGAACGCAATGCCTGTCGCATTATGGGAGACCTCGAACCACTCGATCCAGTCGCGCTAGCTGTTTCCCGCCATCAAAGTCGTTCTATTTCCTGCCATCAGAGTCGTTCTGGCCCTGCGGTCGAGTTCGGTGGTGGGGTCTCCCAAGCATCGTCTTCAGGCAAGTATGCATACATTAGTTACAGTCATTTGCCTGATCAGTTTCCGTGTTCCAGTGCAACGCTTCAAGCACCTGGCGGCTGTTTCCAGTTGAGAAGCACTTCTGATACTGCTCATTCACAACATCCGCTTTACTGTTCGAACAATCCTAATTCATCTCCGGGACGCACAATAGACCGCTCTTTGGAAGCTCCTGGTTACTCCAGCCCAGTCGTGCCGATTCCCGCCAGCGTTCTGCATAGTCGTCCTGGACCTGTGGCTGGATATGAATCAGGAGTCTTCCACCTTGCCTCTACAAGCAAGTACAATCAATATATTAACTATTCACTGCCTGATGCCGATCAAATTTTCAGCAATTCTAACTATGTTAGTCATTGTGATGATGCCTCTGTAACTCCTAATCCTGGAAACCCGGAACGCGTCGTAGAAAGCCCCATGGAAGCCCCCAATCCCTCCGTCTCAGTCCTGCCATCAGCAGCCTTCGTTCATCATAGTCGTTCCGGACCTGCTGTCGGATGCGGAGAGGGGGTCTTCCAACCCACTCACTATGGCGAGTATCCAATGAGACTTGATGATGGTCAGTTATTGCCTGATGTATCTGTGATTTCCAGGGAGAGCAGTCGTTCGATTCCTTGCCGCAAGCAGGACGTCGTGATCTTCTACCAAAACGCCGGTGGAATGAATTCTGATGTTGAAGAATACCGCCTAGCTGTATCGGATCGTTGCTACGATATTATTGTCCTGTGCGAAACGTGGCTCGATTATCGAACGCTTTCCAGTCAAGTCTTCGGTCCTGACTACGAGGTCTTTCGTTGCGATCGGAATCCTAACAACAGCCGTAAATCTACTGGTGGAGGTGTCCTTGTAGCTGTCCGTAGCGGGTTGGAGGCAAAGGCCATCGAGAACGATTCATGGAACAATGTGGAGCAGGTTTGGACAGCCATCAATCTGGGTGATCGCACACTATTTCTATGCGCTCTGTACATTCCACCTGATCGAGTCCGCGACAATGAACTCATCGATACTCACTGTCGGTCAGTTTTCACAGTTGTCGAAAGTTCCACTCCAGTTGATGAGATATTCATTTTTGGTGACTTCAATCTGCCAGGCGTTTCGTGGAGTCCATCTCATAGCGGATTCCTGTATCCAGATCCTGATAGCTCTACATTTCACGCAGGAGCTATTAGCCTTCTCGACAACTACAGCGCAGCGACGCTTTCTCAAATTAACCATGTAGTTAATGAAAATGGTCGTAGTTTGGACCTCTGCTTCGTGAGCACACAGGACAGGGCTCCATCAATTTCCTCGGCTCCTTGTGCACTAACTAAGCCAGTTCCACATCACCCTCCTCTAATTGTCACTGTTGAGGACAAACTCGTGCGTGATTTTGGCGACTATACTGCTACGGTTTCTTATGACTTCCGTAAAGCTGACCACCGTAGCATCATAGATGTATTGTCTAGCATGGTATGGGAGAACATCCTTGATCCAGATGACGTTGAGGCTGCAGCGCAAACCTTTTCACATGTCTTGGCATATGTCATTGACAGACACGTCCCGAAAAGAACTCACCACAAAGTGTCTCACCCTCCCTGGCAAACGAGAGAGCTACGTAGGTTGAAGTCAATCAAGAGAGCAGCATTGAGAAGATTTACGAAGTATCGCACGCTTCCTCTGAAACTACATTATGTGAGGCTGAATCACATGTACCAGCGAGTCAGTCGTGAATGCTTTTCAAGTTTCCAACGAGGCATCCAGCGCAAACTTAAGCTACACCCGAAATCCTTTTGGAACTACGTGAACGAGCAACGCAGGGAATCCGGCCTCCCATCGTCTATGGAATTCAACGGAGAAGTTGCTGCCACTGTTCAGGATATATGCCACCTTTTTTCCGAAAAGTTTTCCAGTGTATTCACTAATGAGACACTAACTGACGACCATATTAACCTGGCTGCCAGGAACGTTCCAGTAAACGATCAAACGCTGGGTGCAATTGATGTTAATGCAGAAATGATTTCTAAGGCCGCGACTCTGCTCAAGTCATCCTTCAATCCTGGACCTGATGGAGTTCCATCTGTATTTTTGAAGAGACATATTGCTAGCTTGTTAATTCCGCTTCTTCGCCTGTTCCGAATGTCTCTCTCAGGTGGCATATTTCCATCTTGCTGGAAATTTGCGCACATGTTTCCCGTCCACAAAAAAGGAAGGAAACGAGCTGTGGATAACTATCGAGGAATTACATCGTTAAGTGCCGTTTCGAAGCTATTCGAGCTAGTGATTATGGAACCGTTGCTGTCCCATTGCAAGCAGTATTTGAGTGCTGATCAACATGGGTTTACTGTCGGCCGCTCTACAACTACCAATCTGCTGTGTCTCACATCGTATATAACCGAAAGCATGTCGGATCGGGTTCAAACGGACGTTATTTATTCAGACCTATCCGCAGCATTCGACAAGTTGAACCATGCTATTGCAATTGCTAAACTCGGCAGGCTCGGTGTATGCGGTAATCTTCTGAGTTGGTTTCGATCATATCTTACCGGTCGGCAACTAAAAGTCGCCATAGGAGATTGCAGATCAGCTAGCTTCTTCGCCACATCAGGTATACCTCAGGGAAGCCACATGGGACCGTTAATTTTTATACTGTACTTCAACGACGTGCATCTGGTCATCGAAGCTCCTCGGTTATCATATGCAGATGACCTCAAAATCTTCCTACGAATCTGCTCCATTGCTGACTGTCACTTTCTTCAACGTCAACTGAATGTATTCGCTAGTTGGTGCAGGTTAAACAGAATGGTAGTGAACCCAGCCAAATGCTCCGCTATTACGTTCTCACGAAAACAACAACCGATAATATTTAGCTATGACCTGCTTGGCTCGACAATCGAACGCGTGAATCAGGTGAAAGACTTGGGTGTGATCTTGGATTCGCAGCTTTCTTTCAAGCAACACATTGCATATGTTGTTGATAAGGCGTCAAGAACTTTAGGGTTCATTTTTAGGATAGCTAAAAACTTCTCTGATATCTACTGTCTAAAATCTCTCTATTGTTCGCTTGTTCGATCGACGCTTGAGTATTGTTCAGCGGTTTGGAACCCAAACTACAACAACGGTGCCGAGAGAATTGAATCTGTTCAACGTCGCTTTCTTCGTTTTGCGTTGCGTAGATTGCCTTGGAACGATCCGTTTCGATTACCAAGCTACGAAAGCCGTTGTCAACTTATCGACCTAGAATTTCTCCGGACTAGAAGAGACACAAACAGAGCCCTTACCGTGGCCGATATCCTACAAGGAAGGACAGATTGTGAGGCTATCCTGAGGCAAATTGACCTGAATGTTCAACCCCGACCGCTTCGTAATAACCTTATGCTAAGACTGCCTCTACGTCGTACAAATTATGGAGCGTACGGTGCGATTTGCGGACTGCAGAGAACATTCAACAGAGTTGCATCTGTTTTCGACTTTCATCTCTCCCGTGATGCGCTTCGTCGAAAGTTTTCTTCTGTTTTTCGCCGGCAGGAGTTAAGATATTGACTATAAGATATACGTTTTTTAATGTTTTTTTTTTATGTTATGACCATGCTTGAATGTATTTTTTTTTTTTTTTTTACCATAGTTGATAAGGTTTAAATCATTGGGGCTTCATCCAGCCTGTTGATGTAAATAAATAAATAAATAAATAAATAAATAAATAAATAAATTACCGTTCCAAATTCTTGTTTTCTCCATACATTTTCGGAAAGCGAACTATATTAGAACCTTTTAACATATGGTTTGAGAACTTTAATGGTAATGGTTATGGTAGTCAGTAAGGTCCACGAATGGTTTTGTAACATCGATCAACTTTATGTGGAATATATCGCGAATTGGTTGCCTGTAATTTACTGATTACCAATTCACGATATATTCCACGTAAAGTTGAGCGATAATACAAAACCATTAATGGACCTTACTGACTACCATAACCATTACCATTAATGTTCTCAAATCATAAGTAAAAACGTTCTTATATAGTTCTCTTTCTGAAAATGTATGGAGAAAACAAGAATTTAGAATGGTAATGGTTCTTAACAGCCCATTATTTGTAAGGTCCAGTTCCAAAAAACCATAATACATAAGGTTGAAACTTTATCATTAAACGTTCATGTAAAGTTCCATAACCATTTCAGTTAAAGTTTAGCAGGGATTATAAACAATTTTTAACCATTTTAGGTAAGGTCAATTTATGGTTCGCGTTTATGCGGGTCACCATCTCTATAAGGCTCTGAACCATTTGGTGGATTATTTTAACTTTTGGTTAAAATTTGACAGATGGAAAGTTATCGATTAACCGTGCTATCCGAGCATGGTTATTTCTGACAGACAAGAAGTTAAATTTTGACAACTGTGGCTCAAAAACCGGTCGATCGACAGCACGGGGATTTTCGAACATAGAAAATAACTTTCGAAATGTCACTTTTAACCACGAGTTAAATTTAACTCGGCAAATGGTTCACAGCCTAAGTATTGTTCTAGAAATTTTAATTATCAATATTCAGAAAATTATAAAAATATGTGAAAAAAACGTCCAATTTGAAAGTTTTTATAATATCGCACAGCTCTCTGATTGGACCTTAAACATGTTTACAGTCCAATCTGTCATTCAACCTAAAGAGCTTGAATTTATTTTATGAATTCAGGCTCTTTAATTCAACAAAAAAAAAATAAAATACAAATGCTATTAGGACCGAGATTAGGACCTTTGTTTCATCTCGTGTTTCACGTGGAATAGAAAAACTAAAACTCATAATAGTTAGTTGGAAATGCTATACTAATATGAACATGAAGCTTTAGAAATTCCTATGGATCCAACATCTAACTGGGAAGTGGGATATGAGAAAGTTTCATTTACGATGCCTGTAATCAATCGCTCTGCTTCTGGTATGGAGTTGACGAATTAATTGCGATTCCAGGAGTACACCAAGGCAAAAGCTTATTCAAAATTCTGTCAAATCCGACATGCGATATTACAAGCGTGAATTTGGACGAGGATTTCGATCCAATTGCGGATCAACCACTTGAATTGCCAAGTGCTAAATTGGACGATTTACGCAAAATGATGCCATATGTCAAGCAAAAAGATTATTTTGCAACATTGCAACAGAAAAAAAACAGGAAGAAGAACAATAATACGGTTGTAGACCACTTTGATGTGGATCTCGCTCGGGATCTCGATCTACTGGAGGACAGCGATGTAGATTTGATCGAATAACATGAATGAATGTAAATTATTGATGAACAGCTTGAGCTAATAAATGTAAAACGAATGATGTAGAATGAAAAAAATAGAGTTTGTTTATAAAAATATACCGAATATTAAAAAATATGCAAATTTTCCATACACTTACATTTTTCCTGCATACATCAGAAAAAAATAATGGACAAGTTCTTATTATAAATGTTGTTTACTTAATAAATTGGCAGAATAGTAGTTTTAAGCCCATCAACAATTACAAATAATGATGTAGTTGTAATTATCTGACCTTTAAACCGTCTTCTCACCAAGGTCCTAAGTAACATTAACTTTGCAATCAGACCAATTTGACAGGTCCTAACTGATACTGAAAAAAGCTAAAGGTCCTATGTAACAAAACCACGAATTAAATCTGAAAATTATGAATAAAACGAAGAAACATACACTTCAGTCGAATTCTATGTGTTTCCTATGCATTTGAGAATACAAAAGATTATCGTTTTATGTCGTAATTAAAAATGGCATTTAAAAATATATTGCAAAAGTTCAAATCAATTTTTCTCCAATCAGCTTCAATGACAGATAGGACCATTTGAAATGTTTGTCTAGAAATAAATACTTACTTATATGTTTGTAGTTTCAAAAACTCCTAAATGGGTAAAATTTTACTCATTTAATGGGTAGTCCCAGTTTCCCTCGAAAATGCTCACTTTGTGGTCATTATTGGGTATTTTGCGGTTACCGTGTATACTAATAATTTACCAAAACGTCAAACTAATAATTCAGTGCCAACATTTCAAAGGGGCGTAATTGCTTTTGTAAACAATGACTTTAGCCGTCAATTTCTCACGAATGAAATCTTACCTCTCCAAAATTACAATGCTAGCTGTAAGAGGAAACATTCCTCTACCTGCTGGTGTCATTATTTTTCATGAGTGAGCTTTTATTCGCGAGAAATCGACGACTAAAGCCATTGTTTACAAATGCAATTACGCCCCTTTGAAATGTTGGCACTGAATTATTTACGCAAACATCAAAGAAGTTTATAGTGAGCGAAACTGTTGAAGGTGGAGTGTGATACTGCGATTGTAACAAAAGAAAATACTCTGTTATCAACAGAATCTCCTGTAAATCTATAACCATTCTATACTGCTTTGAATATGGAAGAGCAAGTTGATCAAATTTTGGACAAAGTGTAATAATTTGCTTGAGTAATTTCACAAGTCGACAAATCTGAATTTTTTTTCATGTTTAAGGATGGCCACTCCAGGAAATCTAGGATGTCTCCTGGCCAACAATCAAGGACTATGTATAGGAGGTACGTTAATTTATTAGGTATTACAAAAACGATAGATTACTCCTAAACTCAGAGAAATAAACTATCGACTGTGGTGAATTTACATTACAGACGTTATCGACGGTTATCGATTACCCTGTGAGAATACCTATTATGTACTTACTTCACAAAATCAACAGCCAAGATTAAGAAAACTATGATGCACACATTGATAAGTTACAACATCTATTTGGTTATTTTTTTAAGAGAAGATGAGCTCACGAACTTTATGTTTCATAGATACATACTTACGTCAGTTAGTTATCCAGATGATCAGCAAACAAATGTTTTTTGTATTGCTAAATTAATTTTGATTAACATAATTTAGGGTTTGAACGAAGAAAATGTTTTCGAATTTTTTAAATGTTAACTTCAAACCAGGGACCTTTACGAAGCGTGTTTCGTATGAACGCTTTTTTTTCCATGGTTTGTTTTCCGTCGATCTTGTTTTCCGTGCTGAGCACTAATGCTACCGACGCCAGGGAGGCAGCTCCCACACCTGGACCCTACCTATCGACCCATCGACTCACTTCCCTTGCTAAGGAAGGCGTAATCAAAGATGTTATGCCTCAAAACATAAGAGGTAATCATGACTACACCACCGGCTCCGCTGTATGAACGCTTGTATGAAAAAGTCGTTTCGTCTTGGATACAATGTAATAATGTCATAATGTGGTCCCAGTTATCGTAGTTATCGATAATATCGATATCGGTCTCTGAAAATATCGATATCATTTCGATATCGGATTTTCAGTATCGATATCGGGTCCGATTCCTATATTTAATAGAAAATGCATTAAACTTGCTAGTGAATTAGGGTTTTTTCACCCGGCGTCACTTTAAAAAGCTGTAACTTTGTAACGAAATATGATAGAGACCTGAAATTTTAGGACTTTTCCTAGCATTTGGAAATTGCTGTCAAATGAAGCTTTACAAAAAAAAATACAATGTGAGAATCGGTTCAAAAATTGATTTTTGGGAGCAAGTTGCAATTTGGGTCTTTTTTGTCTCGCTAATGCACAATATGAAACTCTTTCCTAATGCATTAGGAAGGTTAAACATATTTCATTCCCTTCCAACTTTATAATGCATTTGGAAAATCAAAAACATCGACATCACACAAACTAAAATATTCTGTCCATTTTTCGAGGCACATCGCTCAAAGTTCGCCTCGTTTTCGAAAAAAAAAGCTCCCAAGAAACCAAGATTGAAATATTTGACAGAAGTTTCAGAGCCACCTGAAACAAACATGGAAACGTACTATTCTTACTTGTCCTAAGTAAGTTAAGTACCGAAAAATAGCACATGTCATTAGTTCGATACCACTCCTCACGTACCTACTACAAATCAATTTTCTTCCATACAAAATGAGTCGTCCACTTGATTATCCTTCGGTTATTATTGCGTTGAACCATTCCCTCGTGATAACTCCCTACCAAACTAGCGGTAGAGATCTTTCTCATTGGCTTGTCACGAACAAATTCTTTGTTACCAGATCCTTCAACTGGAGATAAAACCAACGACGGTAGAAGGTAGAACCATTTTTTTTTTCAAATATCGGTTATTGTATCGATAATTTAGACCCGATATTTATCGATAGAATCGAACTTATTGATATCGTCACAGCACTAGTCCCAGGATAGTATTTCGAAATTTGTTAACGTTTGGGAAGTTGGTGCACAAGTAGATTGTCATAGATTAAATCTGGTTTCAGGCATTAAATTTGCATCAACATATTTGCGTCGCAGCAAACATCACACAGAGAAATATATTTTAATTTTGACTACCTATATTCTGTATTGGTTTCACCCTGCCCATATACATGGAGGTTAACGGTACTGAAGCAAAGGGCTTATGTTTAGTCTCTTTACATCTGCAACTATGATGATTTCCCATAAGTGAAACATATCACCTTCATAATGCTTCCGTATGCCTCAAACGATTAATTCTTGGTTGTTAATAGAACTTCCATGATGAAATTGGCTGCTTAATGCAGACTGAACAATTCTGATTATAGTATCAGATTTGTTATGTATACAGAGGAACTGGGAGGGCTTATTAGAAACTTCTCACCAATAAATTAGTGATCTTCTAGTAAAAATTTTACATAATATTTTATTAAAATTTTATTTTATTTTTGCATATTATTTTTGTTATATGGTCAATAGCGTATAATACAAGAGATTCAATATTCGAAGTTTCGAAGCTAACGTATGTCAATAGGCCTAATAGAAAGATAGGTAGAAAAAAGTGTACCCTGCATAATAGCTGCGTGAAATACCTTTGTGAGAATATCTTGTTGAGATCATGATTAAGACTTGTAGAATGCTTTAAAACCTCCATAAAACTTGCAATGCTACTTGGGTGTAGTCACGTTTTGTCTGCAGTCAATATTTTATTTTATATTTTCCTGTAATTATCGTAAACAATAATTATTCAATATTAGATAATTCAGCCATATATAGGAGTAAATTCGCTAATTCAAGGGAGACCTTTTCTTTTTGTTTGTTTACGTTTTATTTTAAACAGGATTGGAATTGAATAAAAATTGAGGAGCTCGACTAGTTTGACCGCTACCGCTTTTGCTTACTGAGTAGAAGCATGTGGGTTTATTCCCAAGCTCCTCCAAAACAAAACAATTACTATGGTCACATAACCTGCTTAAGCGAGTCCTGACTCATTTCCTACCCAGCTATCCAACTCCGTAGCATCTGTGGGGCGTTGGTGACCCAAGTAACCATAGGCACGTTATTTCGCCTTTTTGGCCGTCCAAGGCGACAATAAGCAAAAGCACGACAGCAGCGCTGTTTTATATCTTTTCAGGTTCAAGCAGACCGATGTGCAACCAAACCTGATAGGATTTCCCGCCGTTTTTTTATGAATGGGCGGAGCAGAAAGTTTCTTTTGCACAGAATATGTAAAATAGGATGGACTATGGATGTTAATATAATTGCATATATAGAGGTACCAGATATGTTTTACAGTCAGTTGTTGGTAATCCATCGAGTGTATGTCTCCTGTTAAGCAATGGTTTTTTGAAAATATCGGCTCTGCATGTAAAAAATTAATTGTTTATACATAATAGTGGTTTGCTTAAAAATCGTTTCCCGGAAAAAAAAAATGATCGTCGAAGTCCATTTCTTTTTCGGGTAATTGATAAGGGGGGAGGGGAAGAGGTTGTTAAGGGGCAGAATGTTTTACATGCACGTTTTTTCAAGTCTCATTCCTCATTGTGGCGGACACGCCGTGATCCACCTTTAGCCGCTGACTTAGTCCTGCTTGCTGCAGGACTTAGTGCCACGCCGTCCGAAGCGGGAATGAGCAGAGACAGGACTTTGACTTTTTTTTTTGACTTTAAATGATCTATATTTCTTGAATTTGTGTGGTTTACATGTATAACTTATCAAGTGACACAGATGCGTATTTTCAACTTTAGTTCTTGTGAAATTTCAATTATTATTAATTACAGTTCCTAGTCCTATCAGGCCTGTTTTAGAGAATGACCACCTTGGTGGGATTGGTTTGTTGAGCAGAGACAGGAGAGCAGCGCTGATTTATATCTTTTCAGGTTCAAGCAGAATGATGTGCAACCAAGTGGTATTCGTTTATGATGACTGGGTTTGGGAAAAAGGTTTATTTCATGAAAACAGTGATAAAATTATCATTTGTACATTTTCAGAAGTTTAATTACAGAAACATTGGAAAAATATTTATTTCAGGTTTGTAATGTAATATCCTATCGATTGGCGTATTTGAATTTTAATTTCATCTATAAATGACAAAGTTACAAGCGTTCAAAACCTAGCACTCCTTCACCACACATATTTTTTGATTTGCACCCCAGTATAGTCGACAAAGACGTAGTTCTACGTCAAAAATCGTTATCTCCCGGCTAACAATAAATATTGTTGACACCAACAATTTTTTTATTGTCTTCAAAGAAAATAATTTTAATTTTAAATCATTGATCAAAAATTATTTTCTTTGAAATAGCGAAACAATTTTTATTTGTTGAATCAAGTATTTGTATTATTTGAATCAACAATATTAATTTGTTGGCTCAATGATATTCCTTTTCTGTGTCTGATGGAAAAACATTCTGTTTTAAAAGAACAATGATGCTTTTCAATGTATTTTATGTGATTTAAGTATTGAATACATTAATATAATTATTACCTAAAATACAGAGAGCTGTTCGGTCGCGGCTTACAGTACATGTCTGTTGAGAACCTCCACAATTTCAAGCGGTCATTTCTTCCACCACTTTTATTTTTGATTACTGTCACATAATGGCGCACACTTTGCTGATTGCGTTTGATTACATTGACAAAATGCATCAAAATTTGTTGTTGTTGAATAAACAATATTTTTAAATTAAAAATATGTTGTTTTGAATTTAAAATAAAATATTGTTGATTCAACAATAACCAATTTTTTAAACAAAAATATCGAATTGTTGAGTTCAAAAAATATATTTTTTGTTTCAACTAGATGAAAATCCTCTGCGTGTGGGAAAGCAGTTTTGTTTTGCAAGCTTCATTAGCGAGATTATTAGTTCTTTGGCTAGTTTATCTCGTAATAGCAGATTGTATCACCTTAACCTGTCAAACCTTAACAATAACTGTATACATCGGAGCATTAAACCTAGTAAAGCAAAACAAAGTACACTTATGAGCACTAATCTTACGACTTTTAATTACTATTTTATTCTTAGCGGCGCCGGTGGTGTAGTGGTAAGCGTGATTACCTCTCACCCCAGCAGGCCTGGGTTCAATCCCAGTCGACGCCGCCGGGATGTTCTGAGGCATAACGTCTCTGATCACGCCTTCCTTCGGAAGGGAAGTAAAGCCGTTGGTCCCTGGTTCATGAGTTGATGGGTCGATAGGTGTGGTCCAGGTGTGGGAGCTGCCTCCCTGGCGTCGGTAGCATTGGTGCTCAGCACGGAAAACAAGATCGACGGAAAACAAAACGAGCAAAAAAAAATAATTTTTTTTTTTAAATTGACTTCATTTGATAAAATTGCCTACTTATATGTTTGTTCACAGCGAGGGGAAACGCATCAGAAAAATCAGCTGGAATTATCGTAGCCATTTCCGAACAAGCATCTCAGCTGGATCCGAACTGCAATGCTCCTGTTGTGTCGATGGAAGTTGGGGACAAGTAAGTGATTTTGTTGCGTTCTTTATCACTATAAATGTTCACTATATGTTTCAATCTTAGGCTATGCATTATCCATAAAAACGGTATCACTGGAGCTGTGTACAAACAAAAATAAACCTTAATAATAATATTCATTGTTTGAAATTAAATATTTTATTCTCAGCTTCGAAAAAATCCATTAATATTAATTTAACCTATACCTACACGCGTAACAGTCTCATGTCCTATAGAAGTCACATTAACATAGGACCGTTTTGCTAGCGGCAACTGCTCGTACTGTCTTGTATGTTGATCATATCCCTAATAAAATGTGTATGGTTATTTCGCTTAACGATGTGTTCGGGGTATAATCCAAACCATTGGTGGAATAGTTCTATAATTTGGGTTATCAGGATCAGGGGACCCATTCACTGCGTCGTAGCAAGAAGTACGGTCGACTTGTTTCGCGCTCCGTTGTTTTGGAAGTTTTCTCGGTATTCGCTTGATATAAATTATCAGTTTTTTTTCTCACTAAGTGAGAAAGCATAGTTCCCGGTAAATTGATCGAAAAGTGAGTTTTTTTTAGTAGAAAGTGTCATTTTCGGAAAGAGTAATCCGTGCTATTGGAAATTCGCGAACCAATTTGGGCATCATCGTTGCGTGGTCACGCATACGCGCTTACGCATACCCGCGCACGTATCATCATCATCGAGTGTGAGCACCCGTTTCTACATCTTCATCGTTCATCAATCATCGTGCGCCTGTGTGCGCCTCGATCAAGTGCACCACAGCGAAGGTCATCCACGCTGCGCGTCGCTTCCCAGTCATCTGTGTAAACGCCTACACATATAACGCTCGGTGGTAGTAGTATAGGATTATCAGATAAGTTTTTGTTTTTTTTTGTTTCTTTTCCTCCCCCATTAGTTAAATTTTCATTTTGTATTTCTGTGTTTGTAGTGTTTTCTGTGTATTGTATCTGTGCGTTCAGTGGGAGAGCATTTTGCGCTCCCACTAGTTGAACAAAATGGATGTTTTGTCAGAAGACGACATGGATGACCATTCATCTAAGAAAAATGATGATGTCATCCATGGTTCGTCGTCTCAGTCTGACAATGGGCAGGCTGAGAAAAGCTCCAGATTGCGGGCCTACCCGAATGACTCGACTGGCCCATGGGTTGTCTATTTTCAGCCCAAAAACAAACCCTTGAATGTTGTTCAGATATCTGATGATCTGACAAAGCGATTCTCTGCCGTGACCGAAATAACGAAGGTTAGGCACAACAAACTTCGTGTGACCGTCGCTAACCTGAAACAGGCCAATGAAATTGCTGTTTCCCAGTTTTTCACACTGGAATATAGGGTGTACATTCCAGCCTCTGATGTGGATATCGAAGGTGTGGTCACTGAGGCGAGCCTGAACCCCGAGATACTGGAGAAGCAAGCGGTTGGCCGATTCAAGAACCCCTTGCTTCCTCCGGTAAAGATACTGGCCGTTCATAGAATGAAGTCAGTATCGCTCAGCGAGGGTAAAAAGAGTTTTACCCCCACAGACTCGTTTCGGGTGACCTTTTCTGGATCTGCCCTTCCTCAATACATCGAGCTGGGAAAACTTCGTCTTCCTGTGCGGTTGTTTGTACCTCGGGTCATGAACTGCCAGAATTGTAAGCGGTTGGGACATACGGCCTCCCACTGCGGCAACAAGGCACGCTGCTCCACATGCGGGGAGAAGCATGAGGATGGCGCCTGCGCAGCTACTGCACCAAAATGCGTGTACTGCAACGGAACTCCTCCTCATGCTCTCTCGTCGTGCCCGGCGTACAAACAGCTCGGGGACAAAATGAAACGCTCCCTTAAGGAACGTTCCAGGCGGTCTTTTGCAGAAATGCTTAAGACAGCCACGCCATCGACCAATGACAAAAATCCCTTTTCTCTTTTGTCAGATGACGAGACTGACTCTGACTTGGCTGAGGAGGGAACTTCTTTCAGTTTTCCGGAAGGTTCTGCACGGAAACGAAAGCGCATCCGTTCGCGGATTGTTGCAAATAAAGAACCCCAAATCAGCTTGCCCAAATCAAGGAGTGGTGGAAAAAAGGAGACTTCTACTCCTCCTGGATTCCGCAGAACTGACTATATCCAGGATTTTCCACCTCTTCCGGGGACATCCAAAACCCCTGATGCCCCAATTTTAAGAACAGAAACCCCTTCTTCATCTGGGTTGTTCTCATTTGATGACATTGTGGACGGTATTCTCAAATACCTCAACATTTCTGATCCTCTGAAAAGCATTGTCCTCACATTGCTTCCCACTGTGAAATCCTTCTTGAAGCAATTGACTTCAAAATGGCCCCTTCTTGCAGCTATCATCTCCTTCGATGGATAATTTTCCAAACGAGGTCGGGGATTTGATCACTGTTCTACAGTGGAATTGTCAAAGTCTTATTCCGAAATTAGATTCGTTCAAGTATTTAGTCCATAACAATAATTGCGATGCATTTGCCCTCTGTGAAACATGGCTCTCTTCAGAAATTGATCTCCCTTTTTATGATTTTAACATTATTCGATTGGATCGTGAGGATTCACGTGGAGGAGGGGTACTATTGGGGATCAAAAAGTGCCATTCCTTCTATAGAGTGAATCTTCCCGAATTCCCCGGTATTGAAGTTGTCGCATGTCAGGCTACCATTAAAGGTAAGAGCCTTTGTATTGCTTCTGTATATATTGCTCCTAGAGTCTCTGTTAATCGCAAACAACTTTTCGACATATGTGCGGTACTTCCCGCTCCATGGTTGATCATGGGAGATTTTAACTCCCACGGTACAGGCTGGGGGGAGCTGTACGATGATAACCGTTCTACTTTGATTTATGATCTCTGCGACAACTTCAACATGACAATACTTAACAATGGAGAAGTAACACGTTTGGCTGGTCCATCCTTGAATGGTAGCAGATTAGACCTCACCTTTTGCTCTAACTCACTATCGTTGGATTGCACTTGGCATGTAATCCAGGATCCGCACGGTAGTGATCATCTGCCGATCAAAATTTCGATTGCCAGTGGGTTCAACTCGTCAGAATCCGTTAACGTCGCGTATGATCTAACCCGTAACATCGATTGGACTAAGTTCCAATCCGCGATAGGCGATACAGTATCGTCAGTGGAAGAGCTTCCGCCGTTGGAGGAATATAATTTCCTCTCTAATCTCATCGTCGACAGCGCACTTCAAGCTCAAACACGACCGGTGCCGCGATCGTCAATCCGTAAGAAAACACCATCGCTCTGGTGGGATCAACAATGCACGGAGGTTTACCGTAAAAAGTCCGACGCGTTTAAACTTTTTCGGAAGCGCGGAACACGCGAGCATTTCGACGCATACACATCTCTTGAACGCGAACTCAAGAGCCTCATCAAGGCCAAAAAACGGGGTTACTGGCGGCAGTTTGTAGACGGATTGTCGCGCGAAACGTCTATGAATACGCTTTGGAGTACGGCGCGAAGAATGCGTAACCGGTCCACTAACAACGAAAGCGAGGAATGCTCGGATCAATGGATTCTTAAATTCGCGCGAAAAGTGTGTCCGGATTCCGTGCCGTCGCAGTTGACTCCTCGCGAAACCGCGAATTCGGTAGACGAAATCAGTCAGCCTTTTTCAATGGTCGAACTTTCACTCGCTCTCCTTTCGTGTGGCAATTCTGCCCCGGGATCTGATAGAATCAAGTTCAACTTGCTGAAAAACCTCCCAGACGTTGCTAAGAGGCGCATGTTGAACTTGTACAATCAGTTCTTGGAGCTCAATATTGTTCCCGACGATTGGAGACGAGTAAGGGTGATAGCCATTAAAAAGCCTGATAAACCCGCGTCGGATCACAATTCGTATCGGCCCATCGCGATGCTGTCGTGTATTCGGAAATTGATGGAGAAAATGATCCTTTTTCGCCTCGACAAATGGGTTGAGACGAACCACCTTCTTTCAGATACTCAATTTGGTTTCCGTAGGGGCAAGGGAACGAACGACTGTCTCGCGTTGCTTTCCTCGGAAATTCAGTTAGCTTTTGCTAAGAAAGAGCAAATGGCTTCTGTGTTCTTGGATATCAAGGGGGCTTTTGATTCAGTATCCGTTGAAGTTCTTTCAGAGAAACTCCACGCTTGTGGATTGTCTCCATTAATGAATAATTTTTTGTACAATTTGCTGTCAGAAACACATATGAGCTTTTCTCATGGAAACTCTACAGCTTTTCGATTTAGCTACATGGGTCTCCCCCAAGGCTCATGTTTAAGCCCCCTTTTGTACAATTTCTACGTTAGAGAAATTGACAATTGTCTTAATGACAATTGCACGTTGAGACAACTTGCAGATGACGGCGTAGTGTCTATCACAGGGCCAAAAGAGGTTGACCTGCAAGGACCCTTACAGGATACCTTGGACAATTTGTCTACTTGGGCTATTCAGCTGGGTATCGAATTCTCCACGGAGAAAACTGAGTTGGTCGTTTTTTCTAGGAAGCATAGCCCAGCACAACCGAAGCTTCAACTTTTGGGTAAACCGATCACTCATTCCATGTCTTTCAAATATCTTGGGGTCTGGTTCGATTCCAAATGCACCTGGAGATCCCACATTGAGTATCTGAGACGAAAATGCCAACCAAGGATCAATTTCCTTCGATCAATTACCGGAACGTGGTGGGGAGCCCATCCACAAGATCTTCTGACGTTGTACCGGACAACGATTTTATCGGTTCTAGAATATGGTAGTTTTTGTTTTCAGTCGGCAGCTAAAACTCACATCATCAAGCTGGAACGGATCCAGTATCGTTGTCTTCGTATCGCGTTAGGATGCATGCACTCGACTCATACGATGAGTCTCGAAGTGCTGGCGGGCATGTTGCCACTATCCGTCCGTTTTTCAGAGTTATCTCTGAGGCTCCTCACCCGTTGCGAAGTAATGAACCCACTGGTGATCGAAAACTTTGAGAAGCTTCTGGAGCTAAATCCTCAAACATGTTTTATGACATTGTACTACCTATATTTAACACAGGATGTCAGCCCTTCAAGAAATATTCCCAATCGTGTAGTCTTCTCCGATTTCGGCAATTCAGTGAATTTTGATTTATCTATGACGCAGGAAATCCGCGGAATTCCAGAGCATCATCGTCCTATGATTGCTCCGTCATT